GCTGGAATTATGGCACATTGTAACGCTGGGTTGTGTTGAGCACGCGAGCTGTTGGCATTTAGAGAGCACTGAGGGCCGGCATCAGGTGAGCAAGCTAGTGAAACGTTGCACGCGCAAAAGAGGTCTGCACATATCCAAAAACTTTGATTTCCGTGCGCTCAAAATACTTTCTTCTTTGCGAGACAAACATTTTTTCCACAAAACTCAGATCACGCGCGTGCAAAACGCACTTTTGCTCGCTCAAAAATATGATCTTTCGCGCGCAGAATTGTGGCAGAGATGTAATCCCATATTTATTCCCTTCTCGTAAAGTTGTGAAGCGCCATGTTTGAGCAGCATAACACACCATTCATCCATCCAACGTGACCTTTCCAGTAGGGCTGCACGACAGTGAACAACGGCTCTGTGTAGTTAATGCTGCTCAATGTGAAAGCACGCAGGTGATGGAGATTTACCGCTGATTACAGAACCGGCTTTACTGATAAGATGCGCGTTAAATATCGCATGCGATTAATCGTGCAGCCCTACTTTCCAGCAAAACCAAACATTTGTTTAGTATGAAAGAGCCCTCTACAAATAATGTCTTGTGCCCCCACTACTTCAGTTACTCGCGCTCTGAGAAAACTAACTCGTGGTGAAAGGGTTAAATTACACAGCAGATGGACAAAGTAAATCGCACACTAGACAGCCAGTGCTGACACAAGTCACACTGGCAACCTAAAGCTTTCTACAGTAAAAACAAAATAAAAACTGACCCATGTTCTTCATGTCTAAAAATCAATAAAACAGGTCAGCTTCAAGTGCACTGTATGTGAACTATGAGAAGAGTTCACTCCAGAAACGGAATTTTGAAGAAGAGGTATGAAAAGAGAAATGTTAGAAAAAGTATCCATTTATAAACCTTGAGAGTAAGAGTGTAAACAGCACTGCAAACTACATAGAGGAATGTGAAAGACCGAAAACAAAGCAAAACAAGACAAGACAAGACAAGACAGACAAGACAAGACCAGACAAGACAAGACAAAAAACAAAACAAGCAAAGGAAAAAAAACAACAAAAAACAAAACAAAACAACAATATTTGGGTACTGATGACAACAAAAACAGTTTAGGCTTAACCCTAAAAGAATCTCCCTGACCTCATGTGAGCAATGATTTTGTTCATGTGAAATCCTTTAATTAAACATTGGCGCCTTGAACTACCTTAAGCAGGGTGGAAACTTCATTTAATGTGTCATGGCCCTGAGGAAAATATCCATCAAGACCTTTAAATAAAAGTCGGCTTTGTGTAATGGATCTTAGTACTGGAGGTCACCCAGTTCTCAACTTCTCCTCAGATGTATAATGTATCCACGGCATGGGCAACGGTCTGGCTCAGGTGAAACAGTTTCAAAACCTGGATTAGTTTTGAACTTAATATTTATGTGGAGTTCATGGTTCTATTACATGGATCGTTTTAAAAGGTCAAGTATACTGATACAATCCTTTTTTCTTTTCTTTTTTTTTTAAACAAGATATCATCCACTCACACTCATGTTGTTACAAACCTGTAAGGCTTGGAACATTGGATTTTAAGCAGAATCTTTATGCTGCTTTTACATATAGCAACAGTTTACAGCAAGCATACATACGATCCTTGAAGATTATCAATAACTAGGATTATCAAATGAAATACCCAGTCAGTTCATCTGCCATTTTTTTAATTGCAAGGTTGTGATTTTTGTGTAAGCTTTATTCTTGGCTATTAGCAATATTTAACTTATGGTGGTTCTTTAAAAAAAATTCTGAAGCAAGATAAACATGTATAGTGATGAAAGGTAACATTTTAAATGTCGTGGATGAATATTTACGGAGTAATCCACTATTTTGTAGAGGGGGGTCAAAATGGCAATTTTCACCTGAGATTCAGAGCCAAATTACAGGGGGTTAAAAATGACTTCAGAAAGATGGCAGCATCATTATGTTGCTTTTACACAGAGATCGGTAGGTCTATTAGTAACATCTGTTGACTTTAGCTGTCTTTGTTGCATTATGAGCCAATGGTGATCATTCGAAAATGGGGAAAGAGCACTTTAAGTATTTTTCTCCAAAGTTTGCAGGCCTGTAACTCAAAAAATATTAAAGATATCTTAATGCCCTTTAAGATACTGGGTCTTATCAAACTTCCCTTTTGGCATCTTCATTTTTAAGGCCCTATATTGTTCGGCTCCAGAGATATTGGAATTTCCATATGGCTCCAGGAGTAAATCATTAAATTGTACACATTTTCAGTGGTCAAAAACCAAATGTGGGTCACAAAAAAAAAGACACTTATTTTCTTTTAAAGAGCAATGTCTGAAGAACAAATAATGTTTAAACTAGAAATGTATCTTGTTTCCTTCTGTCAGAACAACTGCATTGAACATACCTGTCTGAGTGCCATACTGTGTATATTCTTTTCACAATGTTTGCCTGCCTGTAAAAAGTATTAAAGATATTGCAATATGGTTTTAGATTCTAGTTCTTAATAAACTTTTCTTTTGGAGTCTTCATTTTCAAGGCCCTACATCATTCAGTCCCAGAGATATGGGGGTCTTATATATGGGCATTAAGATATCTTTAATACTTTTGGAGTTACAGGCCTGCAAACTTTGGAGAAAAAAACTTGAATCTTGGCTCTGAATCTCCGGTGAAAATTGCCATTTTGACCCCCCTCTACAAAATAGTGGATTAGTCAGTAAATATTCATCCACGACATTTAATATTTTGGCTTTCATCACTATACATGTTTACACTAAACACTATACATGTTTATTCAGGAAAAAATATTAGCAAATTCAAAAATTTGAGCCGGGGACCTCTGGTTGAGTTGACACGGAATGACCCTGTTGTAACTGTGATAATACGCACAATACCGTTTGTCTAGAATATCATTTGTGGTCACTCTCTTCTTCTGAAAAGGTTTCAGTTAAATGTGAGTGTTTTTCAGAAAACAATGTTACACAAATAACTAATTAACAACCCAAACCTGGAAGTTCATTATGACAATTCATGACAGACATCTACAGACTCATTAACAATCCCAACCATAGACCCCGCAGCAATGAGAGGACAGAACAGTAGAGTGTGTGCAGCAGACAGGTGGAAACACACTATCCAATTCCTCAAGATTATCAGTGACCTCTCTGACATTTCAGCACAGTCTGAGAATGCTTCACACACTCTTTATACACAACTTAACTACTGTTTTACACACACAACAGTGTATGTGTGTGTGTGCTCTGTTCCCACTAGGAACAGAAACACATATTCTGTAAAGAAACTCGTCTGGTCACATGATACTTTACATAACATTCACTGTAAAAAAAATGTAACTAAAATGTAACACTGTAACTAAAATATCCAAGTTGTCACTTAACATTAAGTAACACAAAATTTGACTAAACTAAACATTTTTAGTCAGCGAGGTAACAAATTATTTTAAGTTAAAACATTTTTTTTACAGTGTTCTAGAAAAGAGTGTTTTTATGGCTGTAATTCAAAACTTAGTGAACTGCTAGCAGACAGCAATTTAGGGCATCATATGCACATGCATAGGCCACACAGCATGTTTAGGCCTCATAGACGAGTTCTGAGTAAGCAGGCTTTTTGGCCACCATACAATTGTGCACAAAACGCAGCATTTTTTGGGAATCCCAGAAATTTTAGAAGCTCATTTCTGGACATCATAAATGTGTGCTTACAACAGCATTTTGGGATGTCATAGATTCTGAGCAGAGTTTTTTGGCATTATAAGCATGTCCAGAGTCAGTGGTGTTTTGGACGTCATAGACCTTTATTTCCGAATGCATAATGTTCATCATACAACACAGTATTTCTAGGCATTATTTATGTGTTTTGAGTCAGCAGGGTTTTCAGACATCCTATATAATGTTACAAATTATGCTTTTGAGCACCACAGAAGCATTCCAATTCAGATATATAGGCCTACTACATATTCAGATATCTAGTCAGTAGTGTTTAGTCATTTTTGAGAATCATAGACGTCTTTCAATCAGCATCCTTTTGGGCACCACTGACATGTTCAGAATCAGCAGTGTTTTTGGGCACCACTTACATGTTCAGAATCAGCAGTGTTTTTGGGCATCAAAGACGTCATCCAGTCAGTATCTGTTTGGGTCATCATAGTTAGCTGGTCAAAAACGCTGCGTTATATGTTTCTCTGTACATACTGTAGGCTACATAGGATGCCTAAAACTACGGTCTTCTAGGAGCGCGAGTCAGTTTTGAGACACACACCACTAGAACAAATAACAGCAGCAGCGTACCGTGTTGTATATGTTATAGTGTTAATATTGTATTAGATATGTAACTCACCCGCTTTGACGGCTCCATATATGGCGCGTCCGGTGTGTTTTTTGGCGATTTGTATGTCTTTCCACGCGAGAATCGCGCAGTTTAATGTGACTTCATACAGTCTGCGCTGAACACACAGCTCAGAACACAACAGACGCGACTGCTTCTCCATTTCTGCTCTTAACAACAAATACACACTAGTTATCTCACTTTCATCTTCAAAACGAGTTTATACTATACCGCCCCGACGCTTTACATTATTATAAAAATACTACAGTCGCTACAATGTTGCTCGTTTTCTCCTAAGCAGGCTGACTATATAGCGGTTTTCTCTTTCCTGATAAAGTGGGAGGAGCCAGAGAGATATGCGTCACACACAATCCTATTGTAGGAGGTGCGATGTGAGTGATTGCATACTTTGTTTGTTTGTTTGTTTGTTTATTAATTTATTGTGGCACTGTTAGTTAATTAGGGATCTACACTATTTTGTTTACAACGTTATATTATATATGACATATTATGCCACTCGGACGGTATATATTGCATGTAATATGTACATTTATATATATTATAAAATATTAAAACGTCTTGAACAGTTTTCTTCCATCATATATTTAACGTATTGAACTTTTATACTGTACATCTTATGTTATATAGGCTGATGGATATAATATATGAATAATATAATATAATATAACAATGTAATAATGTAATTAGCTATCACCACGGTGGACTCCTTTAAGTGCAAGCAGTATTACTTCAATAAATGTATTGACATGAAGAAGCAAAGCAGAAGTTTTTCTTCTCAGTTCTCCAAAGTAGTGGTATAGGGGGTTTCCTCATTCATATTCATTATATGGAAAAAAGCGACCAGTGCCGTCAACATTGTGCTTTATTGCCACATTAATACCTTATTGTATCTTTCAAGTATATTTCTAATTACCATAATTCATTCTACTCAGGAAATAGTTAGCCTACTTAAAGAAATTTACATATGACAATGACACAATTTGTGTCATAATTAGGCAGGGCGAAACTGTTGTACATTTATTTTGGTACTGTTATTACATAAAATAATTTTGGGAGAGTTTTTTTTTTTTTTTTTTTTTTTTTTTTGTGACTCCTCTTGTTGATATGCTTGCATTTTTTCGGTAAGAACAGGAGCGCGTTGTGAGCGACGTATACTTTCACTCTGAGTTTCAACACAATCACTTTGCTTATTCAAATCGTTTGCACCTGCATCTGACTTCGACATTTTCTCTTTGTATTTAGACTTCAATAAAGAAAATAACAGCAATTTCCACAACTAATAGGCAATCAATTTGATAATCAAGAACGGGATGTAAATTCAACACCTCTTTTCTTACTCATTAAAATGTCAACTCTTAAATGTGAAATTGATTAATATTCAGTTCATTAGTAAAGAGAATATACGCCACAGTGTCCATTGCAGGA